CCCCAAAACCCCAAAACCCCAAAACCCCAAAACCCCGAATTTAGAGTAATGAGTTGAAAAATAGTTATGTGTAATGGGATTGACTGGATGCGAGAAGTTTGTAGACAGGGTTTTTGAACTTTCGGAGGTCTTTTCCTCTGCTGAAGCTGTGGCTTGGAGGGGCCAAGGGTCTTCTCTGGAGGGAGCGTGAGTGGTGGAGGGGTTGTTTTGTAGCGGATTTGGATATTTTTGAGTTATATTTTTGGCTGATTGATTTCATCATCTTAAGGTTGAGTAATTGCTGAGGCTCTTTCTTTACTTTCTCTGTGAAAGTACTGATTTTCTTCATAATTGGAGTTCTTGATAAATTTTGTTTTAAGGTTAATGCAAGAGGCAAATTTTTATCATGATCTATAAATCATAAAGTGCCGATTACTGCCATAGCGCCTTTTTAGCATTTTATTAGGTGAGTTCAATGTTTTATTCAGAATTTGATTTATACTTCTTGGGATGTCTTCTGACAAACTATATTTTATTAATCTTAATATTACATCTTTTTCTAATAATTTTTCCTTCTCTCTCGTCAAGACTGTAAGTAGGGGCAAACACCTTATTAACTTTATCAGTCTGGGCTTTGAAAATATCCTTTTCTTCCTCATTTTTAATAATGGTTTGCATTTGTGAGATGTGAGGCATTCGTCTAATTTTTCGACCCATTAGTTTTCTTCGCTCTTTGAAAAAGAATTTGTCTAGAAATTATTGATATAAATTTACCTATGACTATCAGGAGCATTTTATTTATCAGAGATTTGGTCAATATGGTGTGCTTGGCTTGAATTAGATCCTGGATCACTTAATTCACCTATAGCTGGAATTTAAGATTTACTTGATTGTATAGGGTCTTGAATTGATTTGACTCTGAGATGTACGGGAGGTTTAATTTTTCTCTATACACAACATAAGGATCCTGATACGCTTATTAGTTACCTTAAAAGGCTGATTATTCTGTCCATCTTTTATTACTTTGAATTTCAGCTTTGAGTTGCTATTACTATTGCTATTCTCAGAGCCACTGGCTGGACTCACGCTCAGATTCTTAGTTTCTAATTTTTTACACTAAGCATTACCAATCATATTCTTTCTTTTAGGTTCAATTCTAGTTTTTGGCAAAATCTTAAATTTCTTTTTCTAAAATATAGCTATTAGTTTATTACCTTGTTACTGGTTCTTGATAAATGTGCTGGATCGTTTCCTCTGGAGAATAATGAGTTGAAGTTATGCCTATCAAACCCCTTAAAGAAGTTTTCTCTCACTTCTTCCTGTATTAATCAGTCGGCATAAATTACAGAGAGTTTATTTATTTTTATTCTTGTTCTTGTTCTCAATGTGGTCAATCAAATGTTTGTATTTCCTATAATACAGAACAATAGTATATTCACATTAAATAGCAAAACTTTAACTTGGAAAGTATTTTCATTACTTGAGATTGATGATAGGAATTGGCACAAACAGCAGTTAAATTTTTTAGCGAAATAAGCCATTTCAAAGAAGATAATATTCATAGATTTACAAAAAAGGGGTAGAGAATCACTTATAAAAGATTTAAGGTTTGGTAGATAAACAGTTCAGATAGAATTTTTCACTTTAATTAAAGGTCAGTTAAATAATGTGGAAATAACTAAATGTTAGAGTGTCTCTCAGATAATTAAAGTATTTTGCTAAATCATTCATGAATGAGTAACCTTGATACTACATCTAAAGAAAGCTCTTAGGAACTATTCTTATATCAGTACAATGCTTACTAGCAGAATACTGGATCTAAACTAAGATAATAAACTTTCTTAGAATGAAATAAGCAATGAATTTAATTTTTCTAAATTTTTACGAGCTAAAGAGTTTTTTAGAGTTGTTAATAGACAGAAAGAAATAATTGTGAATAAATAAAATTTATAAATCAACCCAGAATCTAACTAAATTTCACTTACAGCTTCTTCTTCGGTTCTCCATTAGCAGAGGGGATCTTTTTCTGACTTTGCTCTTCAGCAAACTCTAACATTTTTGGAAACTTATATCAGCTTATCTTCTGAGTTTCTACATAAAAAGTATCATAACCTAAGTATAAATTTTGTATCTAAAAAGTGTTGATATGTTTTAACAATAATCGAACAGTCCAATACCCCAGTATTTAATCCCCTCCTGATCATTTATATACTCATTATAAACCATAACGAGAAAATAAATTTTCTCGAAACTTTTTTCCTGAAATTAATGAATCATTATTAAAGGACTTACTGTTAGCATTAAGAGTTTCTTCCTGGTTATGATGAGACTGTGACCTAAATGTGTTATTACATCATTTTTAGTGAAAAATAGCTTCTTAAGTGGTTTCTCAGGGCTTCGGAAAATATTACTAAAACTAAAGGACTTGAGCCAGTTCGTGCGTGCAAGAAATGGTGTGGGATGTTATTAAAGTAGGGAATTTATGAGTAACGTGAGTAATAATTTTTGGCAAATATCTCCCCACTGCTTGAGAATTTAACAACAATTTGGAAACCCAATGGAGCAACCTGAACGAAGTTTTTCGAACTTGCTTAAGATTTTAAACCCAGTTATCCTTCCATGATGATCATTGAAGGTACTTTATAAGGAGGGGAGAAGGTTTCTAGCCAAAATTCTGTAACCAAGCACTAAAATAACTACCAGAGAGTACCCTTAGTTAAGTGTAAAAGTTATTGGAATAAACAAAGAGAGTTTTAACTCAGGTTAGGTTGAGTTCATGAGTAATGAAGCAGTACTATACCTTTCTTTCATTTTTATAATATTGTTCTCAATTATTTTAGATGGGGTTTTGGGGTTTTGGGGTTTTGGGGTTTTGGGGTTTTGGGG